AGAGAAGAATCACCTTTACCTTCTAACTGTATTTAGAAAGTTAAATATAATATGCTGTAAAATTTTATATTTTTGTTGACAATATTAACATACCATAAAAACACTCTGGTTAAAAAAACGAACACAATTAGAAGACTTACAAAATTAATCAAGTATACAATTAATAGCTATTACAGAGCCAAACGCTATTTTTCGGTGCGTAAATTATCAGCGATAATATAATATACAAAAAACTAACTAATGTTGGAAAGAATGGTGTTAAAACGCAAAAATATAAAATCTATAATCATCCTTATATTCCAACAGAGGTAAGCTCGTTCTACAATAATTATTAAGTAAAAGGTTTCCTGTTTTAGAGTAATGCTTGATTTACATATTTCACAGAATTCTTCCAACGTTTTTTAAAATAATTGTGTCACGCCTTCACTCCACCAAGTGATGGACTTACCTCTGTTGGAATATAAGGATGATTATAGATTTTATATTTTTGCGTTTTAACACCATTCTTTCCAACATTAGTTAGTTTTTTGTATATTATATTATCGCTGATGATGGTCCAAACAATGGGTCCGAAACGTTTGAATTTGTATTAAAGACATATTGTACATAATTTACGACCGAAAAACAGCGTTTGACTCTGTATAGTCATTAATTGTATACTTGATTAATTTTGTAAGTTTTATTAAACATAAGGAGTCGTTAATTCAATTAATATGTTGATATTTTATTCTTTGACAATTAGAAGATTAAATACATACTATCAAAAAGAGAAAATTACAATGGTCATGTGATCGTAAATTTGATGTGTTTAAATTTTTTCAGCATCTATGGTCCAACTGATGACATCCTATAAATGCAGTTCTGTTAAATTCCATGACACTTCCATGTCAACTGTTAACAAATCATCGCCGATAGTTGTTTCTGAAAATAATAATCCTGATACATCATATAATTTTGTCAATACTTCTATTGTTACATCTGCAATTTTGTCGTCTGCCTTTAGCAACTCTGAAATACCGTTATCAGAATCATTATCGACTACAAATTATTATTCTGAGGGTAGCGATAACTTTTCCGAGAATTTACCATTGACAGAGTCATCAAGTTTTATTAGTTATCAAATCTTTATTTTTACGTAATATGTCAGTTGTCCACACATACGTTTTTTAAAATGAACTAAGTTCTTGACATTGTATATATTTTATTTACAAATTAAATGTAATCTCTCTCTCTCTAAATGTACTTATTCCCAATGTGTATTTTTTAAATGAGTACTTGTTTAATTAATGTAATGTAATTTTTCAGGAAATATCAAAACAAAATGAAAAAATAATTATCTTAATTCCGAAATAAATGTTTGAGTATGGCTGATCTCAGAGAACGAGACATAACCGTCGTAGCTGTGGATTTATATGAAGAGCACATACGTACTTCTTAAATTCGAAATATCCCAATCCTTCCTTTCAATCTGCTTTTGTCCTTACAAAACGGTTGAGCGCAAAGAATGAAATATAATTGTTGTAAGTCGTGGATGTAAAGTAAAACAGAGAAAAATGTTTATATAAGGCTGTTTTGTGGATGCGTTACGTTTAATACATTTTTTTCTCTACCTTACCTTATCGACAATTTACGATATTTACATTTCATTCTCTGCGCTATCAGCCGTTTTGTAAGGACAAAGGTAAATTGGGCTGGAAAAGGAAGGTTGAGGATACCTCGAATTTATGAGGTATCCCCATATACAGGGTGTGCCAGAGTTGGCGGAGGAGCCGGCACGTACATATTCCTCATAAAAAAGTAAATCGAAAATGTTAATAGCAAAATTTTAAGGCATCAATAGTTTTCAAACGATGAACATTTGAAAATAACCAACCACAGGGCATGAAATTCGCGCCATCAGGGGCGACGCAACTAAGCGGTCGGCCGCGCAAACGCTTTAACGGACGTATCGCTCAACGACACGGTACCGAACGAGTATTGCAAAGTTTCGTGAAATTTCTATATTAACTACTGCTGTATTTTTAATTTAAACACCTACTATAAAAATTTTTGAAACATTATCTAAAATGTAATTTTCAATAATAATATAGCTTATTACTTGCTAACTTCGAAAATGAAACGAACGAAATTCCGAATTATGATAGAAGAGAAAGGGGAAGTAATACAGTGAAGAAATCGAAGTTAGCAAGTAATAAGCTATATTATTATTGAAAATTACATTTTAGACAATGTTTCAAAAATTTTTATAGTAGGTGTTCAAATTAAGAATACGGCAGTAGTTAATATAGAAATTTCACGAAGCTTTGCAATACTCGTTCGGTACCGTGCCATTGAGCGATACGTCCATCAAAGCGTTCGCGCGGCCGACCACTTAGTTGCGGCGCCCCTGATGGCGCGAATTTCATGCCCTGTGGTTGGTTATTTTCAAATGTTCACCGTTTGAAAACTATTGATGCCTTAAGATTTTGCTATTAACATTTTCGATTTACTTTTTCATGAGGAATATGTACGCGCCGGCTCCTCCGCTAACACCCTGTATATGCTCTTCATATAAATATACCTCCAAATTATCTAGAATATTTGTACCACATAATTATCTCCTCAATGGATAACTCCTGATTTCGAGATACCATTTTCCCTCTTATGTTTGGTGATACTTATGTCCCTCGTAATTTATGTAGAGTTTATACTTCAACGTGCACCGTCAATTTTTAGCAGTTCAAGACTAAGAGTGTACCAAATAACTTTTTGAAAAGTTGGTAATATTGACATATTTTACAGGCTCGTACTTAGCTTTTTACTGTGTCGAGCAGTGTAACACTGTCATAGTTCGAACACCTTGTGTAAGACACCTTGTGTCATCTGTGTACGTTGTTGGAAAACACCCATTAATAGGACCTGCATTACTTTTTTCTTCATAATTCTTAAATTAAAAATGAAAAAAACTTCTTAAATACTGATTCTTCATGAGACACAATTAATAAACAAATCAGAAAAGTCATCCTTTGTTTAAAAATTCAAAAGTTGATTTTAACTCATTGAAGTTTGAGATTTAATTTTAATATGTATGTTATTACCGAATGTTAAAATTAAAGTCGATATTTGGGACATCCTACAAAATAAGCATTCTAAAAAGTTAGATTTTAATAACGGCCTTACTCGTTGAAATGTCCTTTAAATTGGATTTAAAATGTGCACTCGGCGATAGATTTATATCTTCTTCGCGCGTGTCGACCCTAAGTGAGCAATTAATCTTAATTCTCTCTGATGATAATAATTGAATAAAATCTGTGGCCGGCTCTCGTCCTAATCATCATATCGACCTTCCATTCTGACCTCTACATTACGTTCGCTTTATATTAAAGAGTACAATTTCTATGAATCACAATAATACTAGTATATCAAAGCATCTCTACTTTTACGTTCATTTCTCTTCTAAAGAGAAAAGTTAAAGAAATAATTTTCTAATATATTTACAGAAAAAATTATGTACTATTATACATAATTACAAATAAAAAATTATATTATTATAATACAACTTTAATTTTTTTTCACAAAAAATTTATTCTCGTATACCTTCACTAAAAAAAACTTCTTGTTTTACGGTATTAACTTAGAAAATTTATTTTTTTACTATATTCTCGAGAAAAGTAGTAATCGATTTTTACATTCTTTTGTCCACGCAACTTGCTATTTTACTTTAAATCGTCAACGTTAAAATTACGAAGTAGTTTCTGGGAATCGAATAGATGACTAAATCGCGACGTGACGCGGAGGAGAGGCCAATCAGAACATAGCCGACGAAAATTGGAAACTATGTGTTGGAAATTGTGCCGCATCAATATTCTGAGAACAAAGTTTCGCGTTGTCGCATCTCGCGAGCACGTTGCAACCAATTCTCGGTCGAGCACCGCTATTAATAATCTTTCGCGCTTAGATAATACTTATATGAAAATCATATCTGTGTGTTTCACGCACATTATTTTGTGGCATAGAGGAAAGCAATCGATAATTACAACGAATGTGCGATGAAAAAAATTTCGTAGATATAATCGAATTACTCCGAAAAAACCAAAGGTCTCGGTAAATTAACTTTGAAGTGTAAAATCTCACGTTTCTGTTACTTCAAACAGATTTTTGACACAATAATTAAATTTAGTTACAATAATAATTTGACCGTGGAAAATATAGAAAACAAAAATACAATATAAATGGCTTATTCCACGTGCGCAAGATAATATTAGCGATATCGATTATTTAAAATGAATTATATATAGTCAGATATCATAAACGTTTCGATCTGTTCATCAGATCATTATCAATATTAATAGAATTTAAATACACACAACGCTAGCATGTTTGTGTGTATTTAAATTCTATTAATATTGATAATGATCTGATGAACAGATCGAAACGTTTATGATATCTGGCTATATATAATTCATTTTAAATAATCGATATCGCTAATATTATCTTGCGCACGTGGAATAAGCCATTTATATTGTATTTTTGTTAATTAAATTTAGTTTTATACAATATATTCTTGTTAAAAAAAATTATTTTACTTCGTCTAAATATTTACATAAAGAGTTGCTCTAAACTAAAACGTTATTAAAATATTATTATAAATAAAAATCATTCTTTGTGTGTAATAGATGTAAAATTCTTATAATTGTAAACATTTTATTATTCACTGTTGTTTTGAATAACTCATCATTCGAAATTATTAAGAAAATACCAAATATATTTAAACTAAAAAAAATTAAAATATCATATAAATATATTTATAAAGATAAGATTACTTATTATATTTATAAAGATAAGATTATTATTATTTAGTTTGCATTTTCTCCGTTTTTCTTCGTATCAGTGATCATACTGGTCATGAGGACCGTCCTGTTACTATAGGTATTCATGAGGTAGAATCGCTTGAACGCGACGGACCGAACGATATTTCCATGGAAGATAACGCCGGCTCATTCAAATTTCAAATTTTCCAAATGACGTCGCCATCGGCGGCGCAGTGCCAGCTGGAATCACAATACTTCATCGTGGACAAAGCCGCAGAACGAGCCGATACACCCGTTGTTGACGAAAGCAACGAACAGATAGCAGGTATATGTATATCATGAATATTCAGCGATACATACATTGCACCATCGAGGACACATCGACGAGACTAATATAGAGTCGCGTTTTCGCGATTTTTACTATTACAAGTTACAATAGTTTTCCATGAAAATTATTGACTAGATGATTTCTTCGTTTTCACGTACGTTTCAAATCCGTTTTATTTCCTTAATCATCACATTTACATTGAAAGAAAAGATTGGTTGCTGCAACAAATTAGATGGTTAAATATGGCATAGCATTTTTAATTGACTGTAGCAAACAATTTTTGGTTGCGTTAGCCAATCGAAATCTTATACTGACATTGCGGAAAGGCTAATACAACCAACAATTGGCTGCAGCATCCAAAAATTGGCTGTTGCAACCAATTAAAAATGCTATACCATATTTTATCATCTAATTTGCTGCAGCAACCAATCTTTTCTTTCAGTGTACAAAAGAAATTCCTCAAAAATTAATTTCTTTCATTTCTCGCGGAAGAAAAATATGCTCTTGCTATTAAATTACAATACATGTATGTACATGCGGATTTAAAAGAGTAAAATAATAGAAATGTAAAAGAAATAGTATAAATATTTTATATATGTAAAAAATGTGTGTGTGTGTGTGTGTGTATATACACTTTGCAACTCTCTTTGAACAAAACCAATTCTATCATAAAACTGAAAAAAATATATAAGGGAGACTAAGGCTAGTACTCATTTTTCAATTTCGAATTTTTACAGATGAAATTAAGAGACTTATCGAAAAATGAATTCTACATCAGTTACTACTATATATATTTGACTATCTAATAATATTTTAATAAGGGGAAACTGACCTCTGTGAAGCTCTCACTTTTTCCAAAAATTGAAAAAATAAGTAGAGTTCTGGTTGCCC